ACTACAGGAGTATAAATCAAGCCTTAGCTTCCATAATAAAAAGTACGGAGGGAGAAATAAGCTAACTGGATGATGTAGAACTACAAAAGTCACAGTTATAGTTCATCGTTTCACTGTAGGAGCTGCAGGGAGAGTAGGGCTGGGGTGGCTGATTACAAAATAGTTTTAATACCTGCACATCACTACCTCACAGCGAATGCTTTGGGCGTTCTCACACTAGTTTTCTCTTCCATTGTAGCTACAAACCCTCCGAGCCTGAAAACACATCCTCTAGTTACCAGTTTCCTCCCATAGACAGCTGCTCAGGCTCACTGCAGAAACTATTATGTCCACTGTCAACTTGGTTCATTTCTGATACTTCTCTTGTAAATCTAGAGCGATAAAACACAGAGGAACAGTACAAAACATCTCTAAATTCTAATCTGGACGTTGGACTGGTAACCGTTATTACTCTTCTGTTTAAACGTCCAACAGAAAACACTAAATAAAAAACAAAGCCCATTGGCTGTAAATCTACTCTATGGTGAGTAAATCACAGAAATGTTTTAGTGTTTGCTGTTGCTGTTTGTATAAAATCTATTTTCACATTAGTTTTATGTCTTCACTCTAAAGCATTAGTTAAAACCATCAGTGTTGTCTTGTGTTTAATACACATTTTCATTTCGATTGATTATGCATTCATTCAAATTCTACATATTACAAGAAGTGAAGAAATGTGGTGCAGGTTACAGCACTTCACACTTTTGTATCAGGTGTCAGTCAAGGTGACCTCTGCCAGACTCCTTTTTGTATATTTAAATAAGTCAACGATAAAGTACAGCACAGTGCTTGATGCTTCTCAAACACCCTTTAAACACTGCCAGGTATCAGGGATTCTGGATTTGCTGCTACGAGGTCAAATACTGGATTTTGAACCTGTGAGTAAATCTTCTATTAACACTCCTATTGCTGTTACAGTAAAGCTTTGCTGCAGGACAATATAAAGCACTGAAATTATTCACATTAATGTCCTGTCACCTCACTAGGTTTCCTTAAAAAAGGATTTTCAGTTTTATTGGTTTTATGCATTTTCAAAAGAAAAAAATGAATACAGAAGAGCTGCACTGTTGGTACAAGAGATGTTTGAAAGTCGTGTATGTAAAATCTGCCAAACTGCTGAAATGTCTATTCCTTGTATTGATCAGAAATAAATATGTACATTGAGCCATAGCACATTACATATGCTGTGCTATTAATGATCTATCATGTTGGTTTGTACCATGACTTACACTGTTGAAAAGTTGTGTAGTTTAGTGTGTTCGTGGCCATGCTTGGTGCTTTCTTGTTTAATTTGTTTCGAGGTTGAGGACTTCAACAGTGCTCTTGTTTTGTGTTTCCTATTTGCAGTGAAATAAGAAATGGATCACAAACTGACTTTGATTTTCCTCGTCTTTGGTAAGAGTTGAGATCTTTGAATTGTATAGCTGACAAATAGAAATAATAATAAATAATGAAATAAAGTTCGCAGGAGAGAGGAACTCAGTTACATAAAAAAATTAAAATAATTGTCTGAATAACAATAAAAATAATAATAATTACAATAACAATGATGATGAAGGTCCCGTGACATTGGGTGTTCATGTTAAAAAAAGCAGTATATTTTCATAAGAAGGACAAAATGCCACAAAGTCTATCAATTCAGACTACAGGCTGTACAAATGCACTGCTGTTTATATCTTACTTTATTAGTCTTGAGAAAACATTTTTCATCATTGAATAACTAATTCACACCAACTCAACAGCAACTTGAAGCAATCTGTTTGAGCTACCCCAAAACTTCAGATCTTCAGTAATGCCAGGAAAAATACAAAGTACATTTTTTATTTGTTTTGTTTGAGAATTCACATCACCTCGAAACTGCAGCTAGTTGCCATTTTATGAAAACTGAACCAATTCTACAACAGTCAAAGTGATTGAAGTTGTTTTCAGTGAGACTTGTGCTTTAAAGTCTGCTTTTTGATGCATTTCTTTGTTCAATTTCAGTGAAATCAGAAATGGTCCAACTGATGTTTTGTGCTGTCAGGAAAAAGTCAGAACTGCTTTTGAAAATGTCACAGTGACTGCGTTTGTTTGTTATTCACTAAATTACTCCAACCAATCATGAAGCTGAACTCTCCAAGAAAGGCAGTATTCAATGTACTTTAACTAGAACAACTCACTTTGGTTGTTTACTATATTAGCTAATTATCTGGCCTTGTCCTGTAGAGCAGTGGTTCTCAACCTTTTTCAGTCGCAACCCCCAGTCTAACATGCACTGCTGTTGAAAATGTTCTGTCCAGTGCATGCTCCCTCCATTGATGAGCAGAACAACATATCCTCGTGCATTTTCCCTTCGTAGCTGTACCTCACAAAGGCCAACAGCTGCGCGTCTCCTGACACATCTGTGCACTCATCAAGTTGCAGGGAAAATATTCCACTCTTCCTCACTCTGTCAATGAGTTGATCTTTAATGTCGCTGGCTATGTCCTGAATGCGGCGCCCCACGGTATCATTTGACAGGGGAATGGTTAAAAGACTGTTAGATATTTTTTCCCCATGCATTGCCCTTGTCATTGCTACAGCTGTGGGACGGATGAGCCTTTTCGATTGAGCCACCAGATATGCCACCTCATATGAAGCTGCCAGAGCCTTAGCAGGGACAGCAGTAAATTCACTCACCACTGTTTTTTGCTTTTTTAGTTCTTGTTCCCTGCGCTGAAAAAAATCAAAAGGCTTATCAATTAAGCTGCTGTGTTTTGTCTCTAAATGTCTTTTAAGTTTTACTGGCTTCAAGCTCTCATGTGCCAGCACCTCAGAGCAAATGACACATTGTGGGTAGTCAATGCTGTATTTTGTTGTGAAGGAAAGGCCATATTTCAAAAAGTCGGACTGATATATACGGAGCCTCGCACCTTTATCAGCCGCCAGTGTCGGCCCGGCCAGTGCCCTACTTTTCTCAGGCGGTGCTTCTGGTGGCTGATCTTGGGACCCCTACGGCTGCTGACTGTCTGGAACACTTTTCTTTTAAGCCATCGCTCCATTTGTCCAGCTAGCAAACTTGCTGCACATTTGGCTAAAACAACAACGCACCTGTTTCTTTTTAAATCTTTAAATCCCCTCCACCACCACCACCACCACCACCACGGTGCTTCACTGACCATAATCTCACATGCACAGAACAGAATCTCATACAAACGCCGTGTTGTAACAATGAATTTTGGACAAACAATGAAGCAGTAAACAACTCTCTGTTTGAAATAATGTAATTTAATACTAATGCAATGACCCTTACTTTCATAATGTTTAAGAAGCCTAATGTTTAAGTTCTGCGATTTCAGACTGTCTGCGAACGCCTTCTGCAGCTGCCGGTCCTGCTAAAAGCAAACCGGGGAGAAAAAAAAACTTTGCTCCGATGATGTGTGAATGACAAGGGCAGACATGAGACTAAGCTAGTGGACAGGTTCATTGATGTTGTTTTGGTGTAGCCTAGTTATGGCCGACAGTAACTGGTTTTGAGTAAAAATGCCTGTTTGAGACCAACCGCTCGTCGTTCCTCTAATGTCCAGTTGGAAGCGACATTAATTTTGCGCATTTATATTTTTCCAAAATGATTTGGCGACCCCCAGAAATAATCTCGCAACCCCAGTTGGGGTCGGGATCCCAAGGTTGAGAATGACTGCTGTAGAGGGACAGTGTTGTTTAAGAGACTGTAGCTTATGTTATCATCCTGTGGCGCATACTCCAAGTACAAAACTAATCAAACTATGGCAAAACCATACAACAAGTACTGCTTATAAACTCATCTGGTAGCAGTAGGGTACATATTCAGACAGTGGTCAGTGGGGAGTCAGTGGGAGCCCACAACAATTTGTTGCCCAGAGACTCCTGAACACATTGATCCAGCCACGATCTCAGGGTGGGATCATGGTTTCTCAGAATTTGCTTGTAATGTGTGTTGCCTATGCTGCAAAACTGATTTGATTTCAGTCGTCGTGAATGATAACACTGCTCAGCTCAGGTTCCTTCTCCGCCAGTGAGGTGATGTTCCCAGAACTAGTCTATGCCAACAGGGGGTGGTACACCCAGGCTCCTGTTCCTGCCTACTGCCCGGTGACATCACCCGACCCTGATTTCCGGCCCGGTGGGTGGTGGGCACTTCCAAATTTCAATTGACACAGCACAGCTTTCATTTCTGCCCTGCTTTACATTCCAGCTAATAAACAAATCTTTGCATCAAAATAAGACTTAAATAAGATTCTTCTTCACATGAACTCAGTGTATCTCCAAGAGGCAAAATATAAATAAAGTGATACCCCAAAGTACGCCATCAGCTGAACAGCTGCTTATTAATAGACACAATTCACCATAATTGATCAATGAATGCCTGACATAAAAGATAAAGAAGATAATTACTCATTGGCTGTGCAAAGAGAAGCCTCTAGTCTCCCCATTCACTCATTCACTCACTCACTGCAGCGCAGCAACTCAGACAAGTGTGTAACCAAACACTACTCTGAAAAGAGTTAAAGAAAGTGTTATGATGTAAGACTGAGAGAAAACACTTTTATACACAGGGGCTGGTTTCAATTAGCAGCATTTTTGATATTCAGACTTCACTGTAACTATATTTAATGTATATAGAATTGATCATGCCAATTAAAGTGCGGGATCCCAAAATTGTGATCATGATTAATGTTTGGGTAACTGTGCAGCTTGAGATGAAGGCAATTCTTAACACAAACACAAATTGCCTAACGTTAGGAACACGTTGAGGGGAGAATGCTATCCAATCATAAAGTCTGCAGTTCAGACTGATCACACATGCAGGAAAAAAGATGTGACATTTTTCTGCTGTAAAACTGAATACAAACCCTTTTGAAATTATTCAGATGAACCATTCAAAACAAACATGTTGATACGTTGCAGCTAAATGTGTCCTCTATCTTTGACTCTCAGGATTTGGCCTGACTTCCTGCTCTCAGGTCATCCTTCGTGAGTACCACTATGTCAACCTGAAAATGAACTGGACCGACGCTCAGCATTACTGCAGAGTAAAATACACTGATCTGGCCACCTTTGACAACATGGATGACATAAATAGATTAAACAGACCAAGTTTGGAAACCTCACTGGCATGGATCGGACTCACAGATGACCCAAAATCCTGGACGGGAAATTTGAGTAACGATGCAAACTCCTGGAGATGGTCAGCAACTGGTGAAACAGGCGGAACTGGTTACCACAACTGGTACCCAGGTTATCCTAATAACTATGGAGGAATTCAGTTGTGTGTGTATATGGGAGATAACGGATTGTGGGATGATTGGACGTGTCCTGACACATTTTCGTTTTTTTGTTTCCAGGGTAAGAAACATTTTGTGTTAACATATTGTGTTTGTATATACAGTTGAAACCAGAAGTTTACATGTTTTCCTCACAATTTGACATTAGCTCAGACTAAACAGACTAAACAGACTGGGAGGAGGGAGAGACACACCTGGACAGGTAACCAGTCTATCACGGGGCTACACTTACACTGCAAAAAAGGATTTTTAAGAAAGTAAAAAAGTCTTGTTTCTGGGAAATTGTTTTGTTTTTTTGTCTGAAAAGTAAAATAATCTTGACAAACAAGTTTTTGCTTAAGAAAATTTGTCTAATTTTAAGAAAATACATCTAACTTTTTCTTAATAAGATTTTACAGCTAAAATTGAGCTAGAATTACTTGTAACAAGCAACAATGTGGTGGTTCACATGGTTCACATTAAATCCCAGCAGAGGAACAAGATTGTTTTTCTTATTTTAAGAGTAAGACAAATTGCTAAAGTTCTCAATTTAAGAAACTGTAGCAATCATAGTTTGAATTCATCTGTTTGCTGCTGGACGTTTTTTGACACTGGCAACTAGAATGTTGCTGGATTATTGTTATGCTGTTAGAATAGGATTAGGGCTTGTGCACTTTTTGACATTTGCAATATTGTATTTTGATAAAATATGGAATATATTCTGGTATACTCACTTTAGACAGTAAAAATGTTACACAGTTCTATGTTAAAGTAGTTGGAAAATGCACTTCTTGAGAGTGGCAGGATTTATTTTGCCATGATTTGACTTGAGTGATGTCAAACTTCCAGCTGACCTGAATGGCTTTAATGAAAATATGAAGAATGCTTGTTTTTCAAATCCTTTTTGAAGAAATTGTGTCTTGTACTAAGCTACTTTTAGCTTATTATTATTCTTATTGTTGAGGTATAATTTCTCAAACCTAGTTTAATCAAGAATAAATGCTTAGGCGCCCCTACAGCTCACCTGGTTGAGCGGGCGACCCATGTAGTTCCCCGGCCCGGTGTTTGTGAGTTTGATTCCCACTCACGACAGTTTGATGTAAGGTCTCTCCCTGTTCATCTCCCCCCTGTCCTGTGTCACTCTCTCACTGTCTTGACTAATAAAAGCAAAAACGGCAGGAAAAAAAAGATTAAACATGTTCTGTTTTAAGAAAATCCATCTCATTGTAAGCTTTTTTTTCCTAACTGGAAACCTTAATTAAGGTGTAAATCCTTGATTTAAGTAGAACAGTCTTAAAGTTAGCTTAATCAAGAAATCAGAACATTTATTTTAAGAAAATATTTCGTACATAACAGAGTTTCTTTGCTTGTAATAGGCAAACATTTCTTACTATTTTTTCTAGTTTTAAGACACATTATGGTCTTAAAGTGGCTAAATATATAGGCTAGTTTTAAGAATTCTAGCCAAGTACATTTTGCTTACCCCATTGGCAGATTTTTTTGCTTAAAACAAGAAAATTTGACCAGATTTAAGAATATTTGGCTTATTTCAAGTAGGGCTGTTTGCAGTGTAGAGACAGACAACCAAGCACACTCACATTCACACCTACGGACAATTTACAATCACCAATTAACCTCAGCATGTTTGTGGACTGTGGGAGGAAGCCGGAGAACCCGGAGAGAACCCACGCTGCACAGGGGGAACATGGAGCCTCCATGCAGAAAGATCCCAGGCGTCCTTACTGGGATGCAAACCGGGGATCTTCTTCCTGCGAGGGGATGGTGCTAACCACCAGGTCACCACACAGGGACAAAGACCTTCATTCTTTGAGACATGTCCTGTGGTCTGATCAAACTAAAACTGAACTGCTTGACCTAAATGATCATCGTTACATTTGGAGGAAAAAGGGCGAAGCTTGCAAGCCTGAGAACACCATCCCAGCACGGGGGTGGCAGCATCATGCTGTGGGGTGTTCTGCTGCAGGAGGGATTGGTGCACTGTACAGAATAGATGGCATCATGAGGAAAGAACATTATGTGGAAATATTGAAGCAACATCTCAAGACATCAGCCAGGAAGTTAAAGCAAATGGGTTCTCCAAATGGACAATGACCCTCAGCATACCGCCAAATTACTTATAAAGTGGCTTCAAGACAACAAAGTCAGTGTTGTGGAGTGGCCACTACAAAGCCCTGATCTTAATCCTGTAGAAATGTTGTGGGCAGGGCTGAAAAGGTGTGTGGAGCAAGGCGGCCAACAAATCTGACTCAGTTCCACCAGTTCTGTCAGAGGAATGGGCCAGAATTCATCAAACTATTGTCAGAAGCTTGTGGAAGGAAACCCAAAACGTTTGACCCAAGTCATACCATTTAAAGGCAACACTACCAAATACTAAGGAAATGGATGTAAACTAATGAATTTGAAGGAAGTAATAAAACAAAAAATCTCTAAACAATTCTCTCACTCATGTTATTCTGGCATTTAGCAAATAGAAATAATGTTGGTAATAGAAACAAACAACAACAAAAAGGTTTTATGTCTTTTTATACGGCGTATGTACATTTCTGGTTTCAACTGTAACTGCCCTGTTTAACGGTTGGGACTCTGCTTAGGTCTAATCAAAGGAAAGTCCTTGCTAAACTAGTTTATTTATGTGAAAGTACTGTCAACAAAAAAAATACTGGTTGTGTTAGCATGTTTGTTTTTTTTGGGTTTGTTTTCTTCCCCCCATGTCCTCCTTAATGAAAAAAGAAAATTGTTTTATTTTCTGCTGTGGACAATTTAAATCTCTCTGCTAAAAATGACTTACAACCTCCTTAAAGCAGATGTTGTAATTCTTCTCACACATATTTTACTTTTCCTATTTCAGCTACAAATCCTCCAGGCCAGAAAACGTATTTTCTAATTCAAAAGTCATTGAACTGGACGGATGCTCAAGCTTACTGCAGAGAACATTACACAGACCTGGCTACGATTGAGAATGATCAGGAGAACGGACAGGTGATGTCACTCCTGTCAGCGGGGGGTTACGGGTGGATCGGCTTGTACCGAGAACCATGGAGGTGGTCCGACAACAGCAGCAGCTCCTTCAGAAACTGGGGGACTGGTCAGCCAAATAACTATGACAATCAGTTCTGTGTGGCTGAGGAATCAAACCACCTTTGGTTTGATGAGAAGTGTGACAAGGAGATGCCCTTCTGGTGCCACGGTAGGGTAAAGAAATACAAAAATGAAACAAATAAAATTATAAAATATTCTGTTCTTGTTTTCTGCAGTTCAATAATGTTTCAGTCTTATGGTTTGTGGTGATGTGTTTGTTGGGCTGTCTAGCCCTGAAAGTGAGGAAGACCATTGTGAAGATGAAGATTCGGACTGATGCTGACCTTTCAGATCCAGATG